TATTTTGATTTTTGCTGGCCTTGACTTCCCTAGTAAGAATTTTTATGATGTCACAGCTTCGCTGTGTCAGGCAACATTTGTATTACTCATACCTTTTCCTGGGGCATTGCCATAGCAACCTCAAGTACTGACAGTGATCCCAAGTGCTCAGTTCAGTTCCTTGCAGTTACTCATTAAGTGCTTTTCAAACAAAATAAACTGATGCATGGAGTTGTAAGTCAACAGATTGCAGTTAAATTTACTCAAACCAGTACCATCAATGATATTCAAATGCTACATCAACAGAGAGCTTTTCTGCCGCCTTCCAATTTCAGGGTGAAATCTGGTTATTTTGGATAAAATGGGCTGCTTATTAATTTAATACTGCTTAGCTGGAGTTTTTAAATTATCTCTATTAAAAGATCATAACCTTTACAAGAGAGCAAAGTGTTATCATACTTAAAATAAATTAAGTAAGGTGTTAGCTGGTTTAATATACAAAACCTGAAGCTAAACAAATATCATTTAAATACATGATGATAAGGATACCTCCTTAACCCTCGCTTCATGTTTCAAACTGTCCCAAATGACTGCATATATTGTCCCACTGAGCACTGACAAAAAATAAGAGATAGATATTATTACTATGTCTAGATGATACACTTGTATTAAGTCAAGCACAGCAAGTGGGTATAACCGTGCTCCAAGTCCTAGGAATTTGCTTCTAGAAGCTATAATTTGTATACCAAGATAATATTTGTACACATTTGTGGCTGAGAAGAGTATTCTCTGGTCAGCCAAGCAAGCGGAATACACACACACACACACACACACACACACACACACACACACACACACACATGCACACACACACACATATACATATTTTAAGGGTTTTAAATATTCTCAAATACAAAAAAATAGGCATTCTGCCATAATTCTCTTAATGTTTTATATATTATCTCGCATAATCATTCAATTCTAAATAAAGATTCCATATGAAATTAACTGTTCAGAAGGGCTAAGGGGCTCCCTTGGCCCCTGGTTAAAGGACAGCCTTTGTGAATGATCATTTAAGAAGGAAGATGTAGTGGAAAGGCTTCTAACTGAACTTAGCCCACTCCCTGGGCGATTCCCAACAGCTCTGTCCAGTGGAGGAGTTTAAGTACTAGCGACATCCAGTCTTAGCTCTGACATTCACTGTGGTCCTTCAGATGCAACCTAACTTTCCAGTCCTAGGCAGGATCATTGTGACAGTGAATGAAGGGAGATCAGAAAGTGTAACATGTGTAACCGTTTCTTTTCCAGGCTTTATCCAGTACTGAGCCAAAATTTCCACCAAGAATCCTTGCTTTTTGTTATTTGCACTCCAGTTTCCAAGAGATTTCCACTGCTATAATTAAAGTCCAGTTGAACAGTGCTCACCCTGTGAGCTTCTCAGATTTCAGTCTGCTCCCCAGTGACAGCTGCCTTGCTTCATACATATATAACTGTGGTCACCATTAGTCCTTCCAGAGCTGGATGACACATTTGTGGTGGGCGGCTCGCTCTTCCAGTTTTGAAGGGGTGGGATGAACTATTAGAGACCAGTGAAAAACTTAAAATCTGTGTCTGTTTAATAGCTCCAGGAGCAATTGGTAGCTGCCTCCATCAGACCATACAGGAACTCTAGTTCTTACTGGCCTAGAGAATCATCTCAGGATAGACTCCGTGATACTCCTTGAGCCAAAATGTGTTCACAAGTTGGAATACAAACGTTTTTGGCTTTTAAAGATTTATTTAAAAGGTAGAGTTGGGGGTGGGGGGAGAAAGAGAGATGTCATCTGCTGTTTGATTTACCAAATGGCCATGATGGTTGCTGGGGAAAGGATAGGCCAATGCTAGGAGTCAATAAATCCAGACAGGTCTCCCACACTGGTGGCAGAGGCCCATACACTTGGGCCACCTTCTACTGGTTCCCAGACAAGTTAGCAGGGACCTGGATCAGAAGTAGAGTGTATGGGACTCAACCTGGTATTTAATAGAAAATGCTAGTGTCATAGGCAGTTGTTTAACCCAGTGTGCCTATAATGCCAGCCCCAGTTTTACTCTTGTGAGAATAACAGTTACACAAATTGTTGCTTGTAAATTAAATTGCTTTTAATTCCCACTGATTCACTTAACACAACTTTCTGGTTGCAAAGCAATGGCAAGGTACTTACAGCTTAAGACCTTCCTGGTTTTTATTCCTCCTCTATATTGAATATGAGGAGGGAGGGGGATTTAATTGACATTATACTCATTCCATCTGCCACATCATTAATGCAAACCTTAAATGACTAGAACTTGAAGCAGGTCCCTGGGGCACTTCACAACTGCCTACTTTTAATCATTAAGTTCTCTAGGAGATATCTCAATGGATTCCCTACCTGTGGGCTCAAGGCCAAGACATTAAAATTAACTCAGTGACATGATCACTAAACTAAAATATGTCATTATCATTTCATTTTCCCTATATACTATGTTAATCATATATTTTTTTTCCTGAAAAGTAATTTCTCAACTTTAATGGCACTTTACAAACTATAATCAAATCTTGCTCTAATATAGTTACATCTGCTCCATAATTTTATTGAGAATTTCTGGGCATTTGTATTACTTTTTTTGCTGGCTCACATTTCTCCAAAGTCTAGATGTGGTATTTCTTCTAAATGTTTCTTAGTACTACTTAATGCCTCGATAGGTTACGTTAACAGGGCTTTGATTTTATTGATTTCCATCCATCCACACATTTATTCATGCACTCAGTAAAGAATATTTTTGTAGAAACATAACTCTACCATTGTTAATACTGACGGATATGATTAAGATAATCTCTCCCTTGAAAAGCTGGCAAATTAGTTCCAGACATAGACTAGAAACAAGGCAGACAGTGATAGCTGCTATAATGAATGGGAAAGAAAGTGTTAAGGAAGAACAGAGAATCTACAAATTCTATCTAGGTGGATTAAAAGAAAATTTCCTGGGAGGGCTGTCATCTGAACAGACTCATATATAAGTAGAATGCAAATAAAAGCGAGGAAGGCATTATGAAAAGTAGATGCAAAATAAGCAGGGTGCATACTTGCGTGACTCATGCTAGCCTGGCATGCCCTGGTTATCAGTCTGTCCAGCAAAAACAACTGAAATGCGAAGTGAATCCTAAAAGCACTGCTCAAGAAGATGCCTAGGCAGGGATGGTGATGTAGTGCATTTATATTTAGTAGGGGAAATTTCAAACTGTCCTCTCTTAAAAATTTTCTCTCAATTTCCCACATGAATGGCCACGCATGGGAGCAGCTCTTGAAGTCTATGCTGTCCCACTTTGTCAAGCCTCCAAAACATCTTCCCACTCTGGTCTAGGCACATGTTTTTGCTTCCTATGCCTCTTTTTCTGCTTTTAATTTTTCTTGTATCATCAACTGCTTTTTTTTCTAGTGGAAATGAATCCAGCTGGGCTTTTCTAGAACTGTTACTCATTTATTACCCTAATCTGCTTTATGAATATCTTGGAGTCAACTATGCCATTCCAAATCTAATGGAAGAAGAGAAGAGCCAAGGACATTCCTATGTTCATAATGTTTACTGCTTACATTAGGAATGAAAATATATGCTTTGTTTACATGGATAGATAGATGATAGGTTTTCAAGGGCATGAAATCAACAAATCATTTGAGGGAAATAGGATGGGTTATGAACGATGGCGTGGGAAATGCAGCTGCCAAGTAGCAGCTAGTATCTGTGCAGCATCTGGTATATGCCATGCAGTGTTTGGTTTTGAAGATCATGCTAGCCAACTTGACAGTCACTGCACAGTTCTGATAAGCCATGAAAGAATGGCCATTAGAAAACAGACATGTTCCGAATGAACAGCTAGTGGACCTTTCCCTTTTCCCTGGAAAGTGGTAAAAAGGCAGTTGGAAATAGCTGCTGTCATAATTAATATTTCTACTGATGATGCCTTCAGAAAGGAGAGTGTAGCCTGTATTTTAGGCAAATACCAACTGAATTCATGCCATTTTTCATTATGCCTAAGTTAGAATTATAACCTTGCCCAAATCTCTTATCCTCTCTGTTCTTTATTTTCTTCATCATTCAAATGGAGAAAAAAAAATAGCAGCACCTTATAATTTAACATCCTTCATAGGTACTAGCTTCATTTAGCTAACATGAGGTTTTACTCTAATGTCACTTACAGTTAGCTGAGAATAACAACACCTTATGTATATAATTACAGTTTGCAAATGAAGTTCATATCCATTTGACTTGGCCCTCAAAAGATCTCCTTAGCATAGGTAAGACAGTGTTGCCTCAGTTTTTCTGAAATGCAGGAAGTTACATGACTTGTCCAAGATCACGCAAACTTAAAGTAACAAAGGCAGGATTTGAATTCTCATTTGACAACCCCAAGTCCAACACGTTCTCTTGCTACCTCCAAAGTATGGATTTCTGGGTCTCATAAAGGCTCTGATGTAGGGCAGATCTGCCATAGGTAATAAAATCAATGTCTTCCTTTACTTTGATTCTTGTTGGCTTTTTCAAATATCTCACCTGTTCTTCGGTGTTTCTACCTTGGCCTAGAAGTCTCTGGCTTGTAATAGTGTGTGATCTAGGGGCCAGTGCTGTGACGAAAGTGAGTATAGCCATTACTGGCAGCATTGGCATTCCATATGGATGCTGGCTTAAATCTCGACTTCTCCACTTCTGTTCCAGCTCACTGCTAATGGCCTGGGAAAATTGCTGAGCATAACCCTGAACCCTTGTGGGAGACCTGGAAGAAGCTACTGGCTTCTGGCTTCAGACTGGCCCAACTCTGACTGTTGTGGTCATTTGGGGAGTAAATGAATGGACGGATCTCTCTCTTTCCCCTCTCTCGGTGTAATTCTAACTTTCAAATTAATAAATAAATCTTTAAGAATAACTAAAGCAAAAAGGTCATGTGTGGTGTGGTTGCAGAAGCCCCAAGTCTGCCCTTGGCCTTAACTCTTGCTCCTGAATTCTAGGGAGACACTCCATCACAGTCACAACTCTAACCTCGGCTGGGAACATCGGAGAGGATGGAATCCTGAGCTGCACCTTTGAACCTGACATCAGACTTTCTGATATTGTGATACAGTGGCTGAAGGAAGGTGTTACAGGCGTGGTCCATGAGTTCAAAGATGGTAAAGATGATCTTTCAGAACAGGATGAAGTATTCCGAGGCCGAACAGCAGTTTTCACAGATCAAGTGATAGTTGGCAATGCCTCTTTGAGGTTGAGAAATGTGCAACTGGCAGATGCTGGCACCTATAAGTGTTACATCATCACTTCTAAAGGAAAGGGGAATGCTAACCTTGAGTATAAAACTGGAGGTAAGTTAATTTTTGGAAGAAGGGACAGAAAGTACCAAAAGTTACTTGAGACAAAAGACCAGGTGTTGCTAATAAAAAGTATGTTGTGTTCATGAAAGACATCAGATTATTAGTGAGTAAACTGGTAGAAGACAAAAATCTGGAGTTTCCTTAGTATTATTATACTTATGATGGCTTCTCATATTTGACAAATACACCATGGTTATCTCAGATATTAACATTAGAGGAAACTGGATGTTGTATATAGATCTATAGAGACTCTGTGTTATATTTGCAAACTTCCATGAATCTAAAATTGTTGATTAAAATGGAGGTAGTAACAGACATCCATAGAACTGTCATGGAGATGGAATGAAGTGACACTGGGAATACAGTGATGGCACAGACTACACCCTCAATCAATGGTGATTTCTTGTCAGATGTAGTTTCCCTCGTCATTTTCCAAGAGTTGTTCCCTGTCTGCTCTAAGCAGACAGAGCTCATCTCCCTTGCTAGATAACAGGTTTATTAAGGCCGAGGTTAAGGCTTTTCTTTTTCCACTCACTCAGAACCAGCCAATCTCTGAACAAAAGATGATGTTAAATTAATCAGTAGATTGTATCTTGTCGTTCTGGCATAATAAAAAGTTCTTAAAACTGTCCCACAAGTGTCTCTCTGCTTTGATATGGGAGGAAGCTAATCTTAATTTCAAAATACAGTTACCTTCCCAATCCAAATTATCTTAGAAGAAGACAAATGCCTATTTAAATACCTGAATATCAGGGCTAGTCAATCTCCAGCCAACTCCAAACCCTTCTGATGAAAAGGTCTAAGGATGGAATTTCTGTGGGTGACAGAAGAATGCTATTGTTTCTTCCCTTTGCCTTTCCCCCTTCACCCTAAGTTTATCTACCAGGTAGAAAAATATATAAAATCTAGAAGACTGGTTTCTGAGAAAATGCCCAATTTCCCTGAGGGATAAGCTTTGTGTGTGTACGTGCGTGATTCCAAGGACTTTCTTGAAGAAAATGACCTATTATAGTAATACCACACATAGAACTTCAATACTTGTGATACTATCCAAAGGATTGTGATATATAGCAACACCATAAGCAAATCATTGTTTGTGTCTAAAGAGGTATTAAGTCACTCCAATAATGGTGGAAGCAACTGTGTTTTTAAGATTTAGTAGTTCAAATGTTCTATTGTTTTATCTGACTTTGACATCTGCCCTTCTGGCCTTTGACCTTGCAGCTTTCAGCATACCAGAGGTAAATGTGGACTATAATGCCAGTTCAGAGAGCTTGCGATGTGAGGCTCCTCGATGGTTCCCCCAGCCCACTGTGGTCTGGGCATCCCAAGTGGACCAGGGAGCCAACTTCTCGAAAGTTTCCAATACTAGCTTTGAGCTGAACTCAGAGAATGTGACCATGAAGGTAGTTTCTGTGCTCTACAATGTCACCATCAACAACACCTACTCCTGTATGATTGAAAATGACATTGCCAAAGCTACAGGGGATATCAAAGTTACAGGTGGGTTCCTCTGTGATTTGGGTGTGACTTTATTGGGGTATAGAATATAAAATAAAAATTCAGTTCTTGTAACAAATATACTACGTATCAGGGCACAAAAACTCCCAGTCGTCTTCATTGAGACCTGGATCACAATTCCAGGTGGGATTACCTGAGGGTAAATCTGACAGGAGAAGCATTCATGCCACAGGGTCAGCAATGGCAACAGGCTCCATTTTCTGCATCTGTTCACCAACTGGCTTTCTGGAGTGCAGACTTCAGGGCTCAGAGGCTCTGTCTAACTCAGCAGGACTAATTTTGTGTGTTAATGATGAAAGTAATGATTCCTTGACACATTTGGTATAGTCAGCTGGTATATTAAATTCTGAGCCCCCTGCCACCTCCCAGCTTTGCATCTGATGATAGGAGGTCAGGACTTACTCTGCCACCCTGGAACTGATTTGTGATCCTGCTGATAGCTGCCCAGGCTGAACTGAATTTTACAGACTCAGCTGGTCTCCCAGCTCTCCCACTGAGCACTGACTGAGAGAGTCCACGTCCTAGCTTCCCTGCAGTGTGTTAGTACATACAAAATCTAAGGTGGAGCTGTGGTCAAGAAAATGTGCAGACTGAAATGATGACTTTGAAGATCATTTCTCCTGGGACTAGACTGGATTCAGACTATAGAGAAAGCAGTATGCTAAGAAAGCCACTTTCTATGTCAAGGTCAGTGTTAGGCAGAAACTATCCTGCACACTCTAAGTGCCCTGTTATACAAATGCTGGATTTAACTGAATAAAACATATTCTTACCAGCTAGTGTTTTTAATTTAAAATATTACAAAAAGGAAATTTAGAGAATAAGAAAATACATGCATAATACGGCTAATAAAGAGCCCAATTTTAAAATGAGCAAGGGACATTTTTCCAAAGATAATATACCAGTATATGCCAATGACCAAAGAAGCACATGAAAGGATGCTTCAAAATGATCAGAAATGCAAATCAGAGCCACAATGGGACATCACTTCACACCCATTGGGACAGCTATTATCAAAAGCAAAACAAAAACAATAAAATGTAAGTGTTTAGGAGGACTTAGAGAAATGCAGGGAACACTCACACTTGTTGGTGGGATTCTGGAATGATGCAATGGTTATTGAAAACAGTATAGGAGGTTCTCAAAAATTAAAAAACGGAGCTACTTTATAAACTAGCAATCCTACTTCTGTATGTCTATTCAAAAGAATTAAAAGCAGAGTCTCACAAAGACAGTTTCACATCCATGTGGATAATAGTACTACTGACAAGAGAAGAGCTAGCAGCAACCCCCAAGGGTCCATTAATGGATCGGTGGATAGACAAAAGGTCATCTATAATACACAAAATTGTTCAGACTTTTAAAAGGAATAAAATCGTATCACATGCACAACATGAATAAGCACTTATTTAGGATATTTTGCTAAGTGAAACAAGGCAGTCAGGAAAAACAAACACTGGATATGTCTACTAAAATGAGGCACCTAAAGTAGTCAGATTCACAGAAAACAGAAACCATATATATACAGATCTACTGAAGAACAAAATAGTGACTATCTTGGTTAAGATGCGCTCAGGTGCCTGTAACAGAAAACCAATTCAAATGAATTGCAAGGGATATTTATGGAAAAGATATTGATATTTCATGGAATCAAAAATATGGATATCAGAAACAGGTAGAGCCAGAAATCTAAATTTCATTGGGATTGTCTCTCATTTCCATAGTACTCTCTCTTCACTCTTTAAATGTATATGGCAAGATGTGGTTGCTAAAGCTCCTGAATCTAAAAAAAATCTCTTTCTCTCCAGATGGATCCAGCTGCCCTCATCCATCAATCCCATTCTGCACTCCCAAAAACAATATGGGTCATGTGACCATACCTAGGCCCAATGAGGCAGTCTCTGATAGGTCAGACCAATACACAAGGGGAGGGAATGAATCGCCAATCTTTTAAACAATAGTTATTGGCATCAGTACCTCAGTTTTAAAAAGTTAGTGAAAAGCTCCAAACTATATATCTAATGCCTATTAGTGGAAAGGCAACAGCTAATAAATGTGTAAATATGTGTATATATACATGTAAATTGAAAACACCTTTATTTCAGTAAGCATTTTCCCCTTACATTCTAATTCTATTGGAATATATACTCCAAGTGTTAGTATTAGGACTAAATATAACTTTTGAAAACTCTAAATTAAGAAAATAATGCCATTCATAAAGTAGGTGCTCCATGTATTTTCTAAGATTTATTGGGGGGGGGGCGTGCAACTAAGCCTCCACCTACAACTCTGCAGCACCAGCATCCCATATGGGTGTTATATCCCAACTACTCCATTTTTTTAAAGATTTATATTTATTTTCATTGGAAAGTCAGCTATGCAAAGAGGAGAGACAGAGAGGAACACCATCCATTGATTCACTTCCCAAGTGGCCACTGAGCTGATCCAAAGCCAGGAGCCTGGAGTGTCTTTTGGGTCTCCTACATGGGTGCAGGGTCCCAAGACCCTGGACTATCCTCAACTGCCCTCCCAGGCCATAAGCAGGAAGCTGGAAGGGAAGCGGAGAAGTCGGGGCATGAACCAGCATGTAAGGCTATCGCACCAGGCCCCCAACTGCTCCACCTTTAATATAGCTCCCTGCTTATGGCCTGGGAAAGCAGCAGAGGATAACTGAAGTCCTTGGGCCCCTGCCCCCACATGAGAGACCTGGAAGAAGTTTCTGGTTCCTGGCTTCAGACCAGTCCAGCTACAGCTATTGCAGCCATTTGGGAAATAAATCAGTGGACAGAAGACAGATCTGTCTCCTTGCTCACTCTCCCCTCCCTCTCTCTCCCTTTCTTTCTGGCTTACTGTAGCTCTCCATTTCAAATAAAAATAAATCTTTTAACTTCATTTGAAAAAAAATTTTTTTTGGAAGACAGAGTTATAGAAACCAACTAGAAATGAAGAGATAATCTAGATGGAACTGATAATACTGATTGTGTAGAATCAGGGGATTGTGTGTATAAACTGGAGTTCAAGTTGGGTGATGAAGAAGACAAATTATTTTAATAGACTAGAAAACCAACCAGGAGCCAATAGCGGTATATGCAACATACATCCAATTAAGTTCCTTTTTCCCTTTTCTCTTTAACTAACTCTCCATGACTGTGCATTCTTTGCTCCTCCAAGTCTCCAAGTAATCCGCTTTTCAGGGGTAGAACCAGCCTGGCAGGAGGAAACCCTCCTCTGCGTGGTTCTGGAAACCACCGGGGACCGGGCTGCACCTACAGTCCACCTACAGAGCTTCATCCCGTTAGCTGATTTTTTTGTTGTTGTTGTTGTTAGTAATTCAAGTTTTTGCCTTATCCTTTTTGTTCTTTTCTTTCTTTTCTTTAATTGGTTCAGAGCTAATCTGGAAAAGATATTAGTTCTTGGATTTCTTTGAACTGCAGAAGTAGGCACTCAAAGCAGTGGGTGGATTGTTACATTTTAGTGGCAACTCTAAATCCAGAAGTGTGACTTGAGACAGAATGCTAACTGTGGAGGCAGAGTTGGAACTGATCAGATGGGGACAACCGGGATTGCTGTTGCTTTTATTGCTAATACAAACTGAGGGCTGACTGTGTGCCAGCCATTGTTCCAAGTGCTTTGCTTTTTTGTTTTAATTATTATTTTATTTTAAAGCTTTAATTCACTTTCATGTATTTTTCTTCTTTTGATTCTGGAAGGGAGAGAGAACATTAACCCATTAATCCTCACTTAAAAACCATGTGAAGTAGGCTATTACTAGTTTAATCCTATTTTATGAAGAACCTGGAGCCAATACATGCTGAATAAGCTGCCTAAAGTCACACAGTTGACAGAACAGAAATGAATTAAATGAGATTGGATTGTCTAAGGAACAGTGATGTTCTGACTTCATCTCTCTCTACTTCAGAATGAAGACAATTAATTCTTCTTTGTTACTTTACAGTGACAAAGAACTTGGGAAGGTCACTGCCTGGAGGGAAAGTGTGTCTGAGACCAATACCAAAGCCTGTTTGTTTAGCATATTCTTCATTTGGTGACCCATAACAATCTCTTTGATAGTGTAATTTTTTATTTGGCTAAGGGCTTACTGAAGTGGACCAGGGAATGAAACTTTCTCTAAAGAAAGGGAGAACTTTGTTTTCCAACGTGGAGAGAGGGCTACAGCAGTGCTTGTGCTGGGAAGTACCTGGCTCTGCAGACAAGTGAAGATGACACCCTGCTTCTCCTGCATGACCTTGAGTACTTTTCTCCCCCTTCACAGACTCTGAGATCAAAAGGCGGAGTCACCTGCAGCTGCTGAACTCAAAGGCTTCCCTGTGTGTCTCCTCATCCTTCGCCATCAGCATGATACTCCTGCCCCTCTCCTGTTACCTGATGCTGACATAACATGTCCCAGCCATACAAAAGTACGCAAAGTCCCTGGTGCCACAGGTGAGATGAGTCACAAATAGTGTGGGTGACTGATTCTGGGCGTGCGTGCCTAATGAGAGTTAAGTAGGAGCTGCTGAGAGAACCAGGGCCCTGACATGATTTCCAGCAGGACTGTGAAAAGTTAGCATTTATTAGCTTAATGTAGCGCAAAGACCTCACTGATAGAGGAAAAAGGAAAAAGAAAAAGAAAAAACCTCCACACAATTCAATATTTGTGTAAACTCAAATGCCTTTTCATTTACTGAGTCATCAGCAAAGGCAAAAATATCTTATTGAAGAGGAATTTAGCCTGAATTACCCCAAATTCCACTGTTACCCATGATGACATAATCACTCACAGAAGTCACCTCTCTCCCGTCCTTCCAGTAGGGTCCCTTGGGCAGCAGAGTGGGCAGATGGCACATCCTGAGATTTTTCTTACTCACTGCAGTCCTCTGGCTCCAATCACTGCTAGGACCTCTCCTTCTCCAGCATGTGGAATCTGTGTGTGAGAGAGCTCCTCAAGGCCCTAAAGCCAGCACTCCCTCCGTTATTCACTGGCTTCCCCACCAGGGCCCTGCCTCACAGCTTCAGAGCAATTTTTCTGCATGTCTCCAATGCTCTCCATGTCAGTGGATTATCAACCCTGGAACATTTCCCGTTGCATCAGTTCTCGGATTGATCCTAAGCCCATCTTCATCATCTCATACCTCATCTACTTCTAAAACCTTCGTACTTGCTGCTTCCTTTTCCTATTTCAGCTGATGTGAAGCAAGGTATCAGATTCGGGGTGGTCCCACGCTACTGTCATCACACAATTCCTTTGCACTGGAAGATAAAAGGACTCTGGGGCACTGCTGTATGGATAAGGTTCTCAGCTCTGCAGTCACAACCCTCTAACGACCTCACTCCCTGAGCATCCTTCTCCTCTCACACACTTGGTAGTGTTCCCACCCTTGCTCTCTCCCACTGCCCCTTTCTATACATTTCTACTCTATAGCAGCTCGCATTTGCCACTTCCTAGCTCCCAGCCCCTTTTCTGGGGTCCTTGGACTTTTCACCCCTGTGGCATACACATATCCTTGATCTTACACTCTCTGAGTGGTTCTCAAGTCCTTGCCTAGATTGCTCAGTCCCCAGGTCAGGTAAAGATCTGACCTGCTTCTTTTAATGCTTCCTTTTGCTTCCTAAGCGGTTATTACCATGCAGAGCATAGAGTAAATTCTTCATAAAAAACTTACCTGTTACCCTCATTTCTCATTCTTCACAGTTGTCATCAGTGGAAGGAGGTTTCCCTGAGGAAAGTGCCCCTTAGCAATCTTACAAGTAGAAGGAACCCTTTCTTTCTTCCCTGAATTCTCACAACACTGCCAAAGACTTTTTAATAACCTACAACTAGACAGTTGGACCTATAAAGTACAGCTTATTATCTGTACATTTTTCCTCTAAAAGCAATCATTTGCAGCTCCTTAATATATATTTTTTATATAAAAGCCGTGACATACACAGAACGGATGATGTTCACAGGCAGTGCACTTAGGATGATACAGTGTTATACAATCAGCCGCAGCCTCACCTCTTCCTCTCTAGAACCACACAGCAAAAACCTTCAATCCAACAGATACTTGGAAATGCTCCAGTCGTTATTTGAGACATATATTATGACTATTATGACTGACCGTGACATTTTAGGTCACACATACATCTTGCTTGAGAACTGGAGCAGAAGCCATCTTTCCACCCCTACCTGGGAGCCTGGCCACATCTCATATCTTAGTTCTGGTTGCTCAGAGGATCTATCTGACTTCCCTGACATGTCCACTGGAATGACCTCCTATAAGGGCAAATTTCAAACTATGTCCCTTGCCCCAGCAACCTGTGGGATCATGTAACCTCAATAGGACAACATCAAAATACAGAAAAATCAGCTCATTTCTAAACAACATATTTACTGGTACAGTGGCAGGGAGTCTCAGTTCTCAAAAGAAGTTTGCTGAATGGCTATAATGATGCCTTATTGCTGTTATTTTCAGAATCCCAGGAATCTACGGAGCTATTTTACCAGAAGAGATGACCTACTTTTATATTTCTTGGGGGGGGGGAGAGGAATGCATTCATATCTAGAAGCCTGGAGTGAACAAACAAAAACAGGAAACAAAAGGGCATCAAAAGCAACCCATAGAAGACTCCTATACAAGCAAGTCTGTCTTTAAGGACATAATGAAAAATTAGGGAACCAATTCAGCAGAACTGGAGAAGTGTGTAGAGACTGGACATGAGGACCAGAGGCACATCCCATTTCTCAAGGACCTCCTGTAGACTCCCGGGCAGTGAGAAGATGGGAAGTGTATCTGCTTTGGCTCTGAAATTTCAGTCTCGTGTGCTGTGATGTTGCTCTGAGGAAGCTGCTGCTGTACGACTCAAAGGTACATCAAATGTTTCACGTTTGTTTCAATGCCTTAGGAAGTATCTTGGCTCCCTCCCCATCTTATACATGCCAAAGAATGAAAAAATAATTTTAGTAAGCAAAAGTAGTTGGATAACACTCACTTTCTAAGTAATCTGAGCACCATTAAAATAGAAACAAATCAACGTCACTTTTTCTGGGAAGGACTTATGATGTCATCACAAGGAGTGGGCTTCAACTTTCCATTCTGTGTTGACAACTGGAGCTTCAGTTTCCATCACCACCTACAGCAATAAAGACTCACTGGGCCCAAGTCTGCACACCTGTCCACCCCCATTCCTCAAGAGACATTTGACAATGTCTAGAGACAATTTTGGTAGTCACAACTTGGGATGTAGGGACATGCTGCTATTAGCACTTGGTAAATGGGCCCAGAACTGTTGTTCAACATCCTGCAATATATAGGGAAGGAATTCCTGTTCAGTAAGAAACTATCCAGCTCCTGCCAATCATGCCAAGGTTAGAAACCCTGACTTAGAGTGGAAGATAAGGGAGCAAATACATGTTTGGCTTCTGTGTTTTTGACTTCTGCCCCAGCATGGAGAGCTAGAACTCCATATCAGGCAACCAGGATGGCATCTTCCCATAAACTGTGTTGACAAGGCCTGTGGGGAATTTCTGAGGGGAATATCTTCAGCTCCATGACCATTAAGGATCTCTCCCTTCCAACTATTCTGCAAACTAAATTCTGTTGAGAGAGATGCCAGCATTCCATTTCAAGGTCTCTCTCACTCTGAATTCAGTTCTCAGGACCCTGTTCTTGCCAAAACTGAAATTATGGCGATCTAGGGCCACTCCTTGAAACACACGGAGACTTCCAAAAGCAGGGATTTAAATAAGGCCTTGTGGAATAAAGCTCAGATGGAAAAGAATCTTGTGTTTCTAGGCCTTCTCCCATACTTTTTGTGTGATGACCACTGCCTTCCTGGAACTTGGGACTTACCACAACTGTATTACAGTTACAGAAAACTTGATTTTAGAGTCTGACCATTCAGAATGATTAAATATACATTTTCTACATTGTTACTTGTCTGCTTTGTCAAAGTGAGTGATATGGAAGATGGGTTCAAAAATACCATAGGGAAGTTTCTAAATATTAATGTCTATCACATAACAAACCTTCAGTACATTTCTTGCATGAATAGGTACATGATGGCAGAGAAATGTCGGAGCTGTGAATACAACCAGGTGCCTGGATATAGTTTCTTAAGAAAATTCCACTAGATTTATGTCACCCTGGTGAACACAAGTTAGGAAACAGTTGCAGCAGGGGCTTGAGCCAGATAAATAGAAAAATACAAAGAGAGAGACAAATGAATTACTATAAGTTCAAAAAGTCTGTCTTCTACTGCTGAGAAATTATTGAATCTTCAACTCTAGAACTGTAAAAACCTAAAATCTTACTTGCCAGTCTTCTCACCTTTCAGATAAATACCTGGAGATTCCAGATAAAGTGTCAGTAACTGGTTTTCCTGGGTTACAAGACTTTGCCAAAGCCACACTGGTAGCCAGTGAGGGATGTTATCCACAGAAAATCTAACTGCCAAAGGGCAAATTTCCTGGGAACTCTATGAACATCTCTGCCCTGGTATATTACCAGTTGTACCTGACATACTTTTCTAGAAAAGACTGTTCCTGAACCAAACTCTAGTTGCAGAAACACTTCTAACACAGGTTAATTCTCTGGCCTTACTGGTGAGCATATAACAAATGCATGTGACGACAGATGCCTCTGATCAGCTCCACTGTATGGACTAGAATATGACATATGCCTTAAATTTCCAGTGATGCTCAACTCTTAATACCAAAGGTCAAGCCATTTCAGAAGAAAGAACAAACTTGATGGGACAAACGACTATACAAAAATGAAATATAGTTAACCAGCTATGCCTAGGTAACAAGTAAACCTGTTTTATAAGTATATGATGACCTAAATCTATAGATTATTGAGGTGCCAGGGGGCATGGGGTTATTATTACCTAAATAAAAAGAATTCTGCCCTGTGGAATATGTAAGAGTGCTTTGGATCTATTGATGAAACTTGTAATTCCCATTCTCTCTCCAGATGGTGAAGTCTTCATACATATACCTGACTGCTCTAATTCAGACTCTATGTGTCTGAACTGCCTTCTAACCTCGGCCTATTTCCCCTTTCATAAGAAACATTCTCAGGAGTTTCAATGTGAACATCACCCACGAAAATACACAGAGACATACAAGCAGAAGCATCACTGTGCCCCTTCCTATCTTTCTTTACATTTTACCCACCCTGAAAGTCCAAAAAGTATTCTTTCCACCTTAAGTTCTCTGAATGATCCAAAGCCAATCCATGCAACTTACCACAAAAACCACACACTGTTATTTTTTTCACTGATGGCACTTTGGCTTCCGTAAAGATGATAACAACATAAGAAGGGAGGCTAAGACAGTCCTTAAAGATTTGCTCTGTGAAAGAGGTCAGTGCATTCCCCAGGAAGATTCTTTTACTCATTTACTGATGGTGTGTGCTGGGTCACAGCAGTTAAGTCATCTACTGGAAGGAGGACTCTGTCATTATCACTCCAGGAGTTCCTGGCTACAAGAGGCATGGCTGCTCCAAATGATAATATTGCCTGACTCATCTCAAAGCCATAACTGTGACCTTGAGCTTGATCTTAACTCCTTAGTTCAAGTATAATTGCCTGGCCTAAGAGATATCCTTAGTATTTTCAGTTATAAGGCCCTTTACTCCAAATGATAAGCCTTGCTTCAACTCAGAACTTTATAGACACTTTGGTCATGTATCTTTTCCTTTACAACAACCAATAATACTCAGTTAATTTAGCCTATAAACTGTTCAAAACCGAGACCAGATCCTTTCTATCTAGTCTTCCATGTTCATACCAGGCCAGTGAGGGTACAACACCTGCTGGTCTCATGTGAGCTTGATAAGGGGAAAGCCAGACTGGATTTACTGTTCCTATTGGTGCATGCATAAGCCCAGAGTAGGTGTGGGTTTGTTGGGCTTTGCCAGAGCATCAGCTGGCAGATGCTGGCATGGGGGTGGCAAATTCTGTCAAGTTAAACTGTAGTACCATCTGAACAGTGCAAGATTTGGGAGTGGGAATAGGCCCAATGGGGAAATCGTGGGCACCTCCCTCGTGGTTGGCCACTCTAACTGGTGAGCATGAGAACCAGGACTGGGGCAGGCATGGCTAGACAGAACATGGAACCCACCAGCACGTGTGTGGACTCGATAGGGGGGCTGGGTGGGTTGAACTAGGCTTCAATGTGCATTGACATGTAGCAGAGCTGAAGGGGATGTAGGACAGACTGGACCAGTCTGCTGTACAAACTGGCAAGCACGGGAACCAGGGAAGAGGGCAGGCCTGATGGGGGTTATTGTAGGTTGCTCTGATTAGGCTACAGCTCCCACTGGTTTGCATGAAGGCCAAGTGTGTGGGTGGCAGGATCGGACTGGGCTCTAATACACATTGATTTGTGTAGCAGATAGGGCTGGAAATAGAACTGACCTAGTATTATGTGCAACCACCATCATGTGCATAAGCTGACTGGATTGATGATTTGTGCCAGACCCTGTATTTTTGGCAAGCACATACAAGAATCAGGTCTGGGATCACCTCAGATGAAGTTTCTTTGGGGATTCCCCCAACTGAACTGCTGGACTCAGAACCCCAACCATGGAAAGAATTGCAGATTCCATGGTCTGACCCTGGAGTGTATATGTCAGAGCTGGGCCTCCTCAGTGGCTTAGGGCAGTGGACAGCATATCCAGGTGCACATGGAAGATATGGCAATACATTGGAGTTTGCAAAGGACACCTGGTAACATAATAGAGGAAGGAGGACAGAACAAATTGATCAACTACCCCAGCCAAGAGTTGGCAGTGAATACCTGGGTAAATGGAGACTCTAAGGTAGACTATATAAACCAGTGGAGTTTGGAGACATTTCATCATGCTTGCAGTGGCAAAATCAGCAATAATTCAGAACTGTTGAACTATCAAAGTCTCTTGAGTAGGACCCTCACTGCATGCTCCACAATAGGGACCCTGGGGCGGTGTCAGATGACTGTCATCTATTCCAGGATACAAAGGTATTTTGGAGGCTAGATGTGGCTTCTCACCTTATCTTCTTCCTTTCCCCAATACATGAAGGAAATAAGAGAGAGAGAGAATGTGGAAATAATGGTCTCACCCATCTTCCATAGCCCTTGACCTTTATCACTCTAATTAAGTATGTAAAAATCATAAAAAATGTTTAAACCATTCATATATAATTACAGATAAAAGATATTAGATTCTAAGAGATAAAAGTATAGAATCCTTTAGTACTCAAGATACACATGTGATCCAAGTCCTGGGACCAGGTCTTAAACCTGGAGTAGGCAAGACTCGATGTGTGACAGGGTTCCAGCATAGATGCTATTTATAGTGAGAAGAAGCAGGTGTCCCTGAAAAAAAGCCAAATCACAGCCAGCTACATGAGATTCTATAAGAATAATCAAGATCAACTGTAATACCTCTTTCTCTTTTATTCACATTTCCCAAATGGTCCAGCCAATCTTTGTTAAGGCCCTGTGTATTATTTATCTTGTCTTTCCACAACTCTCTGCAGATCCTCCCTGATGTCTAGCTCCACGTGAAAGAGTAGTTTTTCAAGTATCTCTTTCATTAGAT